ATATATATATATATTATTATTAAACAAACGAAACGTTTCAACATCACGAAAGATTAGGCGTCATCATACTATAAAATAATAAGTATTAAGTCATCACTTATTGGGTGAATTAGGTATACGTTCGTTATCAGAGTTAAAAGTTATAAGAGTATAGCTTATCTCGGATAAATATTTCGTATTATATTTTAACAGTTGTTTTAATATGCAAATAGGTAGGTATTGTATTTTATATCAAAAATTTACTATTTAAATTTTCTGAGTTATAAGTTAACATTTGCATTTACTAAAACCCAAAATTACACCCTGATGATTTTCTTAATTTTTCTAACGATTAATTTCTGTTGGATACAATACACAGTAATATACAATTCTAAAATTTAAATAATATAGAATTAAAAAAAAATATATATTAATTATTAATATAGAGTATATATAGATAGGTACTTCTATAAAAGATTATTTATATGATATCGTGATTTTAATGATTATGCACATAAAAATAACATTTTTGCTTACCTAATATAACAGTTATTTAATTGACTAATATGTTTAATTGTTTAATAATTTTGTTTCACTGAAATAATACAGTTTTTGTTCTAAATACAACACATTTCTTTTTTATTTCATCTATTCCTTATACCTATTACAGTAAAATATTACTCTAGTTTACTGTGTTATAAGTTTCATAATTACCAATTATTGTTTAACGTATGAAGACAAAACTTGGATGTAAATTAATGTTTTAATGACATTAAAGTATTAAACACATCGAACACTAACTATCACAGTAACTTTTTAGGTAGGTACTGTATTAGACATTAGTATTTAATAATTGTTTTTAGATTAAATACTCAAAACAACTAATTTAAGCTGACAAATAAACACTCTTTTGACAAAGAATTATATGAAAATAAATAAAAAACAGTTAATCGGAAGTTGAATTTTTATGCAAACGTCTGTATTCATTTCAATCGCCTATTGTACATTTAAAATTTAGATCAAGATTAATACATTTTTTTGTTATTATTAGTATTACTCATTAATTATTATACTTATATTCCATTAAAGTAATGTCTTAAATAGTAAAGCCAATAATAATTTATTATACAATCCAATTTGTCTTTTAAAAGTATAAGGCTGGAGTAAATTAATTTAAATTTTATGCAAATTAAAAAAAAAATAAAAATAAAAAAGTTTTTAATTTAAAATAATATTTTATAAAAGATTTATATTTTCCCTTGTGAGACTTATAATAACAATACCAATATTTTATGTTTATATAGTGTTTATCCGACCCAATGTCTGGTGGTCACTATGGTAACAACGCGGTTCAGTCGGTTGAAGGTCCCGTGTCGCCTAACTCTGCTGCGGCCGCTGTGGCCGCCGTTGCGCAGGGTATACGGCAGCAAATGATGGCCGCCGCCGGACATAACATCTCTCCTTCGTCGGGTGTCGACGCGTTCGCCCTACTCGCCTCTTCGCACCTACCCAGTCCGGCTGACATGTCACCCAATTCGTCTCCACCCGATTCACCGTTAGTTTCCAACAACAACGTCGAGGTAAGAACAACAATACCAACAATAACAACAACAATAATAATAATAATAATAATAATAATAATAATAACAATTATTATTATGTTATACCAGTACGGGGTTTCCGGGAGGTGTATTTTAACGTTATAGTAGTGATAATAATAATAATAACAATAATAATTTAGAATTTCCTCTTATATTCTACCAGTATTCATCTTCCTTTCTCCATCACAAGTCACGCCACTTAATGGTAAAGCCATTACCATCCTCTTCACAGAATCTTCAGAACATACATTCCCTAATTGGCCTGAACAAAAGATTGTTCTGTATTTATATGTTATGTCACTATAATACTATTATATGTGTATCCTTATCAGTGGCGGTGTGTACTTTTCTTCCTATGAAGCAATCGCCTTAAGTACCTGCCCACCACTTGGTTCGCGATTTTGAATTTACACTTTACTTTTTACACATTTTATACGCGACTGTACAAGTATAAACTATWAGCTAGCCGCCTAGCCGTCTAGGTCCTTTAAACTGGAGTCATTGGGATACCCACTCCAACTTTTGCATGAGACAACCGCCTCATAAAATAGCTATACACGCTGCCAGTGATCCTTATAGGCGCAACAATTATTTTAAATCTGTTTGCTCAATTTTTTTTTACTGTATTATTCTTAATTTTAGAAATATTACAATAAATAAATAATACGTCACGTTTTTTTTTTTTTTGCAAACAGGTGAGCCTAAGCGGTTACAAGCGATCCATCGACCACTCCAACCAAGACAACGTGTTCGTCGAAGACATTGATGAGCTCGTGAAGAACAGCCATTGTACCGGAGGCTCGTCAATGGGCAACACCATCGATCAGCAACCGTTGCCGTTAGTCATCGAGCAACGGACCGAATAAAAATATACACCTACACACAGACTGAGATAAACTATAGTGAACAAATCCAATAATACCGACTTTTAAAGACTTTGTGGTCATGTGAGTTGGTCG